CTACCCGTGTATCCCATGCGGTCATTCCCCTCCCCCATAAAGTGCAGATCATGTCACGCCTGAACTCATCCCAGAACTTTGGGGCCTCTCTCTCTACTGGCCTCTGTTCCTGCCTCTGGGGTGCAGCCCCAGAGGGGGGACACCTGCCTGCCTCTTCTCCTGCCCCATGCACCCTTGCAGAAAATGGGTGGAGCCTGGCAGGTGGAAGCTCAGGCCTGTCAACTGAGCCCTTACCAAATCCACTGTGTTTCACTCAACAAATGAGCAAATGGAGGTTCAGGTGGGCAACCCTCCGCTCAGGTCACACAGTTAGGGAGGCAGAGATTTGGGATTAGAATCCAGGCTTTCTAGCTTCTGGTACATAAAAATCTGCAGAAGTGATAGCACTTGGGGATAGTCCTGAGGCAATACCATTGTCTGGGACAGCAGATCCCCCAGGGAGGGACACTGCATAATGACTCCAACTCCATCACCCAGACTGGTGACCCTGGGCAGGCTCCTGGGCCTCTCTGAAACCTCATTTTACACATCTACCAGAGACCACAACACCTACCTAGCTGAATGTAGAACAGGCCCCAGTCCTATGGCTTCCTCTAAACAAAAGCTGAGCCCCAGGGTGGACCCAGATCTCCGGGGGCGGGGCACACGGACCCTCATTGGTATCCTCACCCAATGGGCCCTGATGAGGAGGCGGGCTGGGAAGCAGCTCCCTGGGAGGCCCAGGCTTAGACTGGGGGCGGGGCCTCCAATCCCAAGAGGGACCGCAGGGGGGATGCAGCCAGGGCTGGGAGGCGGGAGCGGGAGAGAATCCACCGGGGAGGCATCCTGAATGGCTCATTAGTGCCGATGAAAGCCTTTTTTCATTTCGTCTAAATACTTTAAACAGGGCTCCCTCGGATGTCTATTTGCATAGCTTAAGAGCTAATGCAGGGGGAGGGCCCAGGCGGTGGCAGGGCAACGCCAGGGCTGGGGGCTGCCGGGAAGCTTCGGGGCCTCCTCCGCAGTGGGGGACAAAGGGGTGGCGATGCTGGGAGTGAAGGGGTATTTCCCCGACCCAGCCAGCTTGGAGGATGCAGCCCCTACTCCTGCCAGGGGGGAGGCCAGTGCGACTTCAGAGTAGATCCCTGTGTCCTGGCACCGGGTGGACCCATCATGTGGGGATTATGGGAGTCTATATTGTCATGGGCCATGGCTGTGTCCCCCATAGACATACAGGACCTTGAGTTGTCTGTGCTTTACATGGATGGTACAGGGTTTTCTTTGTCTTATGGAGAACATGTACAGGGTCACATTCATTGTCACTCAACAGGGAAATTATCCCCTTGGGGTCCAGCTCTTCCCTTCTTTAGAGGTCTACCTCCCTGTTACCCTGTTGGAGTTGTCCTGAGGTGGTTTGTCCCTGGGTCCTCAAGACAATGCTATTTAGAGTATTTAGAAAAGCGAAGACTGAGAGGTGACTTGTTCAGGCTCACATGACTTTAAAGTAGCTGAGCTGATTCTTGAACCCAGGTCTGTGTCTTGGCTCTGTGGAGCAGTATCAGGGCTCTAGTTTGAGTTTCAGGTTCAGATATGCTTTGGGCATGGTATGGGGGCTCTGTGGGTCCCAGCCAGAAGGCTTCCTAAGGACCTGGCTCAGCCTCAACCCAAGTCCCAGTTGCCAGAAGCCCTGGCCCCAGCTCTCTTTCTAAGCTAAAGGAGACCTTGAACAAATCCATTCCTTTTTGTGGGTCTTGATTTCCTCAACTGGCTAGAATGTTCTCTGCTGAGTAGCTCCGGGCTTTTCCTCCCAGGAGGCAGCTGGTGTCTGCAGAGACTTGGAGCTTTGATGTTCATGATGCAGGTTGAATTCGTGGCTCCAGCACTGAGAGGCTTTGAGCAAGTCCTCATCTCACTGCACCAGGACTCAGGTTCTTTGTAAAGCAGGAAGAATTCTTGAGTCCCATCTTGAGGGTTAGTGTTGATTAAATAACACAAGGTCTGGGAAGAGCCTGAAGATACCTGATGAGGCTGGGCATCCAGGCCCCAGCACCTCCTTCTTCAGGTCCCTGTATCACAGTCAGCCCCTCTAACCCTGAACTCAGTCAGCCAGGCAGACAGAAGCGCCTGACCTCCTGATCATAACCCTGGACCCAGGGCATGGCCCAGGGCCTCAGGCCTCTGACAGCCAAGCAGGGTGAGAGGCAATGCCCTCCCCTGAGAAATAGTTTATCTCCCAGAGATTATCTTACCCTTTCTGACAGTGGGTGGTGCCTGCCAGGGACCAAGTGGCAGCTGATTTTGGAATCAGTTTGCTCCTTTGATATGCTATCTGGGTCCCACTTAACCAAGTGCTCAGTCTCCCTAGATAACACAATCAGCGCAATCGACAGTGACGGGAGGTACCCATTAGCTCCGCTCCATTGCCCGGCACCCACCTGGCTGCTGGCAGGAGAGCTGTGCCCGCTCTGGTCACTTCGCCAGTCAGAGAATCTCTGTGCTCTCCCTCTCCTGATGAAGATCCCCTCAGGGACCCACTCTTGGAGCCATGGGTCACATCTCTAGTTGGACAGTCCTGGAAAGGGACCTGTGAGCAAGGTACGGTTCCAGATAGCACCAGGTTATGTGATGGAAAGGTTCCTCTCCCCAAGTTGTGCTAAGATCAGCTTCTGCTCACCTGGCAAAGACCAAATGACATCTGGGGGGGATGGGCAAAGGGAGTAGCTCTTTCCTGGCACGTGGCAGGGACTGCCTGGCCCCTCCTTCACTGATTCTGATGAAAGACACTGGGCATTGTCAGACCATCTGCTCTGGGGGTATGAGCCTGGCTGGGCATCTAGTTTGGACAATGTGATATCAGTGCCTGGCATGGAAAGCCAGGGCACAGATGGTCTACTTTAGTGGGCATCTCAGGAGATAGAAGTTTTTTCCAGTGTCTCAAGGCTTTGGGTTGCCCAGGCCCCCTCTGACCCAGAGTAATGGAGAGCATGCCAATCTGTACCTGCCTTCCCCACCCCAATTTTCTCCCTCCTCCCATTCGTCTGACACATCAGAGCTGCTATGGTCTCCTGAACAGAATGTAGGCCATCTGGTACTTCCTCATGCCTGCCAATCCACGGGGTGGGTGTGAGCCTGTGGAATGACAGCCCCACCACCAGACATGCAGAGGAACCGACCTTCTCCTTGCAAACTCTGTTATCTCACCCTAGCTGTACTTCCTTTCCTTAAGCAGCCATTTTGAAAGCTATAGGAATCAGGAATTTCCTCTCCACCTTCTCAGAGTAGCCAAAATTGTGTATGAGCTGAATCTGAAGCCAGCACCCATTGACATTTTCTTGGTAGTTAAGCATCTAGGGAACATAGTGGGCCACAGCAGAATATGCATAATTTCTCCAATTATATGGTTGAATAAGTCAACATAATCGATAGCAGAGCAATCTGCACCTCTAACCAGAGATAGCAAAGAATTTATCTAGCTGATTGGTAGTGGCTGTCTTGATACTGTATTGAAAAGGATTCTGGCCCCAACAAGAAGTAATCAAGATTGATCAACAATGTCTGCCATGAATGGTGTGGGGGTACATACCAGATGTCCATTCTATACCTACTTTATTTATTCATTTATTTATTTTAATTTTTTATATGTTGATGGACCTTTATTTTTTTTCATTTATTTATACATGGTGCTGAAAATTGAACCCAGTGCCTCACACAAGCTAAGCAAGAACTTTACCACTGAGCCACAAGCCCAGCCCTATATCTATTTTATTTATTTATTTTGGGGGTACCAGGGATTGAATTTTACCACTGAGCCACATCTCCAGCCTTATTTTGTATTTTATTTAGAGACAGGGTCTCACTAAGTTGCTTAGTGCCCCTCTCTCTCTCTCTCTTTTATTTTTTTTCTTTTTTGCTGAGGCTGGCTTTGAACTTGGATCCTCCTCCCTCAGCCTCCTGAGATGCTGGGATTACAGGTGTGTGCCATTATGCCCAGTTATATCTATTTTAGATCCTGCCCTAGATGAATTCTGACTAGTGTCATAAGAAAGAAAAGGGAATTCAGTGACAAATGTCAAATGGGAAAGAGAAGTAGTATTAACTCAGTCAATCCTAAGAAAGAAACCCCACTTCACAGGTAAGAAAACTAAGATTTGGGCTGGGGATACAGCTCAGTTGGTAGAGTGCTTGCCTTATATGCACAAGTCCCTAGGTTTGATCCCCAGCACAAAAAAAAAAAAAAAAAAAAAAAAAGAAAAAGAAAACTAAGATTTCAAGAGATGGGTCTGTAAGTTGAAGCCATGCTGCCTAATTCCATCACATGGCTCTTCCCTCTTTACTCTTATTACTGCTCTAGGAGGATGATAAAATCAGGAAAGAAGGAGAAAGAAAAGATTTTATGAGAAATGAGAGAAATGGGACTTCATGGGATCCTAATAAAGAAGTCATACATGCATGAGAAATTCTAAAATAAAATCCCAAATATGTGAAGTATTTCCTGAAACTAATAACCAATAGTTTCACTGAGAAACTATCAAATCTCAGGCCAAAAGTCACTGTGGTGGGGGATAGTCCTCTTGCTGAAGTTCTCATGGAGTTCCTCAACTGGTCATACGACTTTGAGCAAGTCACTTCCTTTTTCTGGCCCACTTCCTCATTAGTAAAATTGGGCCTTTGAGCTACATTGGAAATGGCAAATATTTATTTGTCATGTCACGGCTGCCTGAAGTCTGTGTTGAGAAGGATTCTGAGGCTGAATCAGAACAGCGGGAAATAGTGTGACAATCAATTAGTAATGTCTGTCTCTGGTGCTGGAGGAGAAAGGATAGTTCATGTGCCATCCTTGAAGTATGTGATATCATCTCGCTTCTAGCTCTAAAATTTTATAGCTCCATGATTCTCAACAATGAGCACACTCCCAAGGCTCTCTGTCAAAAGAGAGATGGATCTCCTACAGCCTGGGTTGGGCAGGATGCTGCTCGCTGTGGCGTAGCAGGAGAACCTCTGATCATCCATTATTATTTCAGGACTCTCCTCTGAGGCCCCAACCATGGGGGAAGGGCAAGCCACAGGCATCAAGGAGATGGATGGGGAGCTGACAGCGGTCCCTACACCTGAGCAGCCAGAACGAAGTGTCCACTTTGTTACCACGGCCCCCACTCTGAAGCTGCTCAACCACCACCCACTGATGGAGGAATTCCTGCAAGAGGGGCTGGAGACGGGCGAGGAGGAGCTGAGGCCAGCGCTGCCTTTTCAGCCTGACCCACCTACACCCTTCACTCCAAGCCCCCTGCCCCGCCTGGCCAATCAGGACAGCCGCCCAGTCTTTACCAGCCCCACCCCGGCCATGGTTGCAGCACCCACACAGCCCCAATCCAGAGAGGGACCTTGGAACCTGGAGTCAGAGGCCCCAGTGCTTCGGATCACAGCTCTTCTACCTCCAGGGCCCAGCATGGCAGCGCCCACCCTACGCCCAGGGGAGAGGCCCAGTACTACACCCCCCACCAGAGCATGGACTCCGACTCAAGAGGGTCCTGGAGACATGGGCAGGCCGTGGGCTCCAGACGTCATGTCCCAGACCATGGGGCTTGGGATGGAGGGAACCATCACCACCTCCACAGCTTCAGGGGATGACGAGGAGACCACCACCACCAGCACCATCATTACCACCACCATCACCACCATCCAGCCACCAGGTCAGCTACCTGCTGGCTTGTAGATCTGAAAGTGGGAATGGGGGGAGCTGTGGGGGCCCCTAAATGCCTGGCTCTGATGCTGTGCCAGCCTGCCCTGGCCTTTGGCACCAAGGTCCAGCCTGCAGGAGGCATGTAGATTGGAACCAGATAGACCCAGGTTCAAAACCTGATTCCACCAACTACAACATGCCCCTGGGAGTTTTATTTAATCTCCCTGAGCCTCAATTATAAAATGGCAATAAGAAAACCTACCTCTCTGAGCCATGGTGAAAACTGAGATAAGACTGTATGTAGTAGCCACTTGCTCAGTAAAAGGCAGTTCCGTTTTTTTTTTTTTTTAGTTCTCAGTGAACCTTTATTTTCTTTATTTATATGTGGTGCTGAGAATCGAACCCAGTGCCCCACACATGCTAGGCAAGTGCTTTACCGTTGAGCCACAACCCCAGCCCCCTTGGCAGGCCCATTCTTTCAACAGGGGAATAGATATCCCTGGAGGTGGGCTCCATGACACATACACACATGTACACATCTAGAGTTCAGCCTTAGCTGGATCCACTTCACCAGAGTTGGGCTTAGTCTCCCTTCTTCTCCTGTCCTTCAGGCCCTTGTAGCTGGAATTTCTCTGGCCCAGAGGGCTCTCTGGACTCCCCTGTAGCCCCCAGCTCACCCTCTGATGTCGGCCTGGACTGTTTCTACTATATCTCTGTCTACCCTGGCTATGGTGTGGAGATCAAGGTAAGTGACCTGGATCTGACAAGGGCAAAGTTGGGGCTGGTGTGTTAACCTTTCCCCATAAAGGTACCTGCTATGCAGGAAGTGGAAATGTCTAGGGGCATCAATGGTGTGAGGAGTACCTACAACCAGAGTTGGAAGATGGGTGTAAAAAATGGTTGGATTCTGTTCTATGTGCCAGGGAGTGGAGAGGGATACTGCTCTCACCCAGCAGTGCACTGGGAGGGCTGTTGGAAGGGCAGAGTGCCCATCCTCTTCCCCCAAGGATTTGCTCAGGGGCTCTAGCCTTGGATGGGAAAGGGATTGGATGAGCATGAACTCTGTATCTGAATCTATGTGGTGAGTGGAGAAAATGCAGAGGGGCTTGGCTGGACCTGAGAGCCATGAAGCCTCATTTACCTATTTATTCATCCATTCATTCCTTATCAAGTCTTCCCTGAGAAGCTACTGGGATCTTCTCCTCCAGGTGGGAAAGTGGTGGGAAAGACTGATGTGGTCACACCATTAGAGCGGTGACAGCTGGCAGGAGAGCCAGACTTTCCCCCAGCCTCCTGATCCTCCTCATCCCTCCCTCAGGATTAAGACTCTCTTATCTTTTTTTTTACTAATTAATTAATTAATTAATATATTTATTTATTTTGTGTGGTAATGGGGAGTGAACCCAGGGATGCTCTACCGGTTAGCTACATTGCCAGCCCTTTTGAGACAGGGTCCTGCTAAGCTGCTGAGGTTGGCCTTGAAGCTGCCACACTCCTGCCTCAGCCTCCTAAGTCACTGGGATGACAGAGGTGCACCACCATACCTGGCTGGGATGAAGACTCTCTCCAACCCCAGTCCTGAGCCCAAATGTCCTCACAGATGTCCCACAGATTCCTCAAACTCCATAAATCCAAGTCTGTCTTTTTGTTTCCCCAAACCGGCTCATCACCCCACTCTGTCCAAGTCAGAAACCTGGAGCCAGATAGTGCAATGTGGAGGGCACCCCGGAACTGTGCAACGAACGTAGGGTCACCTTGGCCCTTCCCTTACCGTCTTCTAGTCCCATGAACTCGTCCCAGGTTCTGTCATGACACCCCCCAACTCTCACATTTGCCTGCTTCTCTCCCTTCATCTCCACAACCGTCATATGGTCCAGCCCCCATCATCCCTAGCCAGTGATGCAGTGACCACCTTCCTGGTCACCTGCCCATTTCTCCTCCCTACTACCCCCCCCCACTTATACCACAGTCATTTTTCTGCAATGAAATCAGTTCTGCACCCCCACCCCCTGCCTCTCCCCTCTGAATCAGGGCCAGTCCTCTGGGCCATCTCTTGCCACTGCTTCTCTTGTTGGCTATGCCCGCTTCACACAGAAGACCTTGCAGCTGACTGACAGGGCCTAACCTTCCCAACCCCTCAAGCCCCAATTACACAAGCTGGTTCTTCTGCCTGGAAGAGTCCTAACACCCCCTCCATCACTTTTTCTGGATCTTCTCCCCAGATCTTCAAAGCTAGGATGGGGGATAATCCCAGCTCTTGTTGTTCTGCCTTCTATGGGTCTGTTCACAGCCATCCCCCTCCCCAGCTGGACTGTGAGCTTGTCGGGGGTGCTTTGCAGCACAGTGCCCAGGATGGGATGGAGGAAGGAAGGAAGGAAGGAGGTGACGTCTGGCCTGGGTGTTGGAGGCTGAGGTAGGTAGAGGAGAGCCCTTTGTCCAAGTGAGGCAATCAGGCAGGGGACTGAGAAGTCACAAGAAGGGCACCACAGGAATCTGGCGGAGCAGGATGGAGCTAGAAGCAGGCTGCTCCCAGCCTGTTTCCCACCCATCCCAAGTCCCACATGCGCCTGGATCTGGGCCTGAAGCCAGCCATGCTGGTCCTGGAGCAGAACCTCCAGTTCTCCCTTCCGGGGAACTTAGGTCCAGGTCTCTGAGCCAGGCCCTGAGAGGGAGGACCCTCTCCTCCCCCTGCTGGGCTCCATCCCTTCTTCCCGCAACTATTTGTTCCTGCTCTGCCAAACCCTGGGCCCCTCACTCTGGGCTGACTGGAAGGGCAATTAGGAACAGCCTCCCCCCTCTCAAGCCATTAGCACTCAGCGCCGCTTAATTAAGGTAATTAATGTAAAATCATCACCTAATGAGAGGTGGCACCGGCTGTGGCTCACAGGGTGGAAGGCGCCAGCTGCAGGTGTGGAGAAGGGAATGGGCGGGGACAGATGCCAGGCTGGGCACCCCCCTGCAGGCCTGGGCCAGCTCCCCCTACCCCCCAAGTCGACCATCCCCTGTGAAACCCACTGGGCCTGAATTGTACCCCCACCCCCAGCAGGATGGGTATCAGATAATGGGACAAGATGGGATTGATGCTGCCTCTGTCTGTCCCTGCCCTGGCCTGGGCCCAAGCTCCACCCTGACGCCTACCCCCTCACACAGCCCTGGGTCTCTTGTCTGGTGCTGCTACATTTTTTTCATCCGAATGCAAAAGCCGTTACCAGGCAACCTTGAGAAGACCTGCCACAGCCCTGGACTGCCGTCAGGGAACATGGCACACGCTGGCCCCACCCTCCACCTCAGCACCATCAGGACAGAATCCTTGGGACCTCCATCTTCTCCAGTGGCCTGAGATAGAGTCTGAGGCCATGAGGGGCATGGGGTGGCCAGAGCTGGGTCAGCACCTGATTTAGGAGGAACAAAATGACAGAACAGGCTGAGTTGAAGCAGGATTTAAGGTTCTTTTTCCAGGGCCAGTTCTAGCAACTTCCACCCTGCCTAGACCTCCTGGTCACACCATGCAGGCCCTTTGGGACCTGAAGAATTACTGACATTGCAGACCAAGATCCACTAGATAGTTTGGAAAAACCGAGGCCCGGGCAAGGCAAGGGAATTGCCTAAGATCACTCAGTTAATTATTAACTAATGTTTTGTTTTGGTGTGGGGGGGCAGTAATGGGGATTACACCCAGGGGTATTTTACCACTGAGCTATTTCCCCAGTCCATTTTTATTTTGAATCTCATTAAGTTGCTTAGGATCTTACTAAATTGTTGAGGCTGGCTTCAAACGTGATCCTCTTGTCTCAGCCTCCCAAGTCTCTGGGATTATATATGTGCACCATCACACCCAGCTAACTAATGTTTTCTAATGAATGGATTTGTGTCACAAACCTAAATTGAGCACTTACTATATACAAGGCCCTGTCCTGGGCACAGGGGACACAGACCTTCCTGGATGGGGGACTCAGAAATCATAAGTAGCAGCCAGGCACAGTGGCTGAGGCAGCTAGTAATCATAAATAGCATCAGTGGCTTGGAAGATTGAGGCAGGAGAATCGTGGGTTCAAAGCCAGCTTCAGCAAAGAGAGGCGCCAAGCAACTCAGTGAGATTCTGTTTCCAAATAAAATACAAAATAGGGCTGGGGATGTGGCTCAGTGGTGGAGGGCCCCTGAGTTCAATCCCTGGTACCAAAAAAAAAAAAAAAAAAGAAAGAAATCATAAGTAATATGACCACAGGATGCTCAGTGCTGGTGGAGATGGAGATGGAGATCATAAGGGCTGAGGGAATAACAGGACAGGTTGCTTCCCAGCCTGGGAGTCAGGCTGTAGGTGAGGGTACCTGCCAGAGAAGAAGCCAGCTGCTAAGCCTGGAATGGGAAAAAGCAAGTGTGGCAAGTCTGGCCTTTGGAGGCTGCCCCGGCTGGTTTGGAAAGGTGACTTTGTTGCATAGGAGCAGATCATGAGGGTAAAGATCAGGATTATATTCCTGCCTAAAGAGCAGCACCCTCCTGCCTAGGCTGACAATTGAGCCAGACGGGGGTTGGATGGGTGGACCTAACATTCCCTAAGAGGGTTCCAGAGAGCAGGGAGCAGCTGTGCCCACCTCCCCCAAGGGTTTGATCAGGGGATCAGGAGAGCCTGGGATGGGCAGGGCATTGGGGGGGGGGGGGCAGTGTAAATCTCTGTGGCTGACAGGAAACACAGGGCTGCCTGGCTGAACCTAAGAGACCTAGAATGCTTCCTGCTGCTCCTCAGACTTGGGTGTGGGGACTACTTTTGACTTGTTTCCACCAGGGTCAGAGAAGACCTTTCAGGATGAGTAAGCTAGAGCTCCATGGTCCACTGGGTACCATCCTCTCCCCAGGCAGCCAGTCTCCCCCTGAAGACTCCAGGCCTTTCTGGGCCAAGTGCCTGCTTCTCACTGCATTTTGGCATTCCATGAGCCTTGCCTCTGCCAGCTTCCATCTTGGCTTGGCTGCTCCCTTTACCATCTGGAGTCTGGGCACAGCTGCCCACAGTCCTTGCCCTCATGCCCAGGTGGCCCTGTTGGCACACAGCAATCCCAGACCAGTCCAGCTGTCAGTTTGATGGCCAGAACACCCACCCTTCTAAACTGGGTCAAGACCAGGCCTGATGTGAGCACCAGGAACAGAGGGGAGGGATTTCTGGGCAGCTTCCTATTTCCTGGCTCCAGGAAGGCCCCTGGGGGAGGTGGGAATGTGCGCTAGAAGGTTTGTTTCAGTGGATTTAGTTCCCTCTCTCCACCCCTGATATTATCCCACAAGGTATTAGGGATGCATGCCAGTTCAGAAGGGCACAGAGGACACCATGTAGCACTGGGGTTCTGGTCCTGGCTCTGCAGCCAGCCTCCCAGTGACTGAGAGAAGCTGTTTATCTTCTCTGAGCCTCAGTTTCCCTCTCTGTAAAGGGAAATTAAACAGGATACTGCCTGAGGCCCCGTCCAACCAGTCCCCCTGAGTGTAGCTCCTTCTCAGGGTTCAGGAAACTCCTTCAGAAACTCAACTAGGTGGTGGCACCTCAGGTCTGTGGCCCTTCTTCCTGGTTCTCTGCCAGAGTGTACTCATGGAGGGAGTATGGCAATGGAGAGTCCAGAGGAGCTGTGACCAGCATGTGAGGATGGCCCTCAGGTGTCACGGTGGGAGTGGTACACGGAGGCATCCTTGAGCTCCTCTGCCTATGCAGCCTTGTGCTGCACATGTGTAAAAACCAGGGCATCCTTTCCTCTGTGTGTCACACCATTTAGACACATGCTGGAGGCCTGACTAGAAGCTTCTATAAGATGGACAGCACAGCTGGGCATGGAGGCACATACCTGTTATCCCAGCAGCTTAGGAGGCTGAGGCAGGAGGATCACGAGTTCAAAGCCAGCCTCAGCAACTTAAGTGACGCGCTAAACAACTCAGTGAGACCCTGTCTCTAAGTAAAATACAAAATAGGGCTGGGGATGTGGCTCAGTGGCAAAATGCCCCTGGGTTCAATCCCTGGTACCAAAAAAAAAAAAGACACGGCTTATAACCTGGGAGGTGGCAGAAAGCAATCCACCCCCTGGTGTGCTGGAAATAGAGCCATGTTATATAGCCCAGGGTCCTGTGGAAATTGCCCTCAGCTCTCCTGTCTTCCCCTCCTGGACCCTAATCCCCCAGGCCCCCTCCTGTCACTGGATAGGGCAATGGGAATACAGCCCTCCTGAGCAAAGCTGACATTTCAATCTGTCTCCCAGGCTCTTCAGATGCCTGCAAATTGCATCAAGACTTCATCTCTCCCCTTGTCCAACACCCAGCCCTGTCTGGCCCCTGTCAGCCTGGCCCTCAAACAAGTGACAAATTACATTTCAGCCACTGCAGTGGGTGCATAACTGGGTACTTGAAACCCAGGGGACTAGAGCTGCACAGGGAACCTCTGGCTGAGAACAGGGAGCCTTCTGGATGGGAGGCACTTTGTTCCACACCCTCATTCCAATTCTTACCACCAAGCTAGTCTGGGATCCAGGCCACCTGGAGGGAACCATGCCTCCCCAGATCAGAGGGGGCCAGAGGTCTCAGCTCTCAATTTTCCTAGATTTACAGGCCACTCAGGGAGTGGATGGCTAGTGGGAACTCAAATTCCAACATCATGAGAAAACCAGACCAGACCAGGCTAGGCTAAGATCCACCTCCCTGCTAAACCTAGGGGCCTGGAGCCTGGGAATGAAGATGTCTAGAAGTCTATTTCTGCAGGTGATAGCCTCATGAGGCTGGGATGGGGAAAAAACTGCCTTTGCCTCCAGCCAGGAAAGACTGCTTCTTAACAGCTGTGTGACCTTTTGCAAGTTTCTTAGCCTCTCTGAGACTTGTCTATTTGTGGGGATTTTACCACAAATAGACACATTGTAGGTGCTCTATGAATGGTAATGTTTTTTTTTAATTGTTACTGCTGCTATCATTCTCTGAACCCAGCAAATCAGAGAGATCCAGGAGCAGGAAGTTAGAGGTCAAGCTAAAAGCATAAGAGGAATTAGGAAGAAAACACAAATTTAATTTGTACTTCTCTGCTTTTGCTCATGTCATAATTTCCCTGTAGTGAACGTCCTCCCTTCCTCCTCCTCCCAGCTCCCCGCTCTTCAAGGCACTCTGAAACCCACCTGCCACATGTGCGTTCCCCGAGCCTCTAAGCCCTCCGCTCTCCCCTCGAGGATTCCTGCTGCACGCATTCAGTGCCACTTAAGGCAGAATTATATGCTGCCTGGCGTCTCTCGATAATTACAGATTCCACGTGTGTGAGTCTTGTTTTCCCAACTCGAGAATCACAGAATCTCCAAGTTTGAAGGGACCTCATCCAGCCTCCGCCTGCTGCAGGGATTCCCTGAGGAAAGTTCCCAACAGATGGTCCAGCAGCCTCCACCCAAATGTGCCTGGGCCAGGAGCTCCCCACTGAGAGGAGGCACTTCTGCCCTTAGCACCCTGCCTTGGGCCTTCTCTTCAGTTGCCAAGATCCTCCCGATCTTTCCTTCCAGGCCTGGGTGGGGACCTCTGCCTGCCCTTCTGCCCCTTCTAGGGTCCTCAGGGCACATCTAGTCTCAATACTCACCTTTTGAGGGGCTCGGAGCCGGGAAACACCCATCTCTTTGGACCTGGCTGGGCTCAGCATCCTCTGCTGCTCAGCTCCCAGAGCTCTGGCGGGGAATGTGCCTCCCTGGCCTACCCATTTGCCTTCTCCACCCACCTGTATTGAGACTGGCCAGTAAAGAAGGCGTTGTGACCCCAGATGCCACCCCAGGATCTAATTGGAGAGAGGACAGAGGACCCAGTGGGAGAGCCTGAAGCACAGGGACTGACTGGCCAGGCCTGAAGGGTAGAGACCCTGATTTTGTTTTTCGTTTGTTTTGTTGGCACTGGGGATTGAATCCAGAGATGCTTATCCACTGAACTACATCCCTAGCCCGTTTTAGTTTTTTGTTTTGAGACAGGGTCTTGCTACATTGCTTAGGGTTTCATTAACTGCCAAAGCTGGCCTTGAACTTGTGATCCTCCTGCCTCCTCACTGTCGTAAATCATGGTGCCCAGCAGGTCCTGAGATCTGAAAGGACGACCAGGTTCATGATGAGGGGAAGAAGGGAAGGTGCTCCCTGAGCAAATACCCAGAGGGGCAGAGGCGGGTAGGAAGCCAGGGGCTGCAGTGCAGGGACACAAGGCTGGCGAAGTCACTGGAGCCAACTGTGAGCTGGGAAGTTTGGACCTTGTCCTCTGGGCAACCTGAAATCAACAGCAGAGTTTGGGAAAGGAGAGAGATACAATCCCAGGCAGCCTGGGAGATGAGGGGTGGGACCTGGTTAAAAGGCCATCCTCAGGTAAGAAACAAAGAGCAGGATGTGCTTAGAGCCAAGAGAGCAGCAGACCCAGGTGTTAACCCTCGAAGGCCCTGCCTCAGAACAACATGTTGGGGTTCTTAGACTAAGAAGATCAGTGCTTTTGAGTTGCTCTTGTTAAAAGGAAGAATATGATTCTACAGATCTGAAATGGGATCCGAGATTCCACATTTCTTGCAAGCTCCCAGGTTGCAAGAAATGTGGAATCTCTTTTGCTTCTGGTCCAGTGACCACATTTCAGAGTAGCAAAGATCTACACAAGATCACTGTAAAGCAAGGGGACTGAAGCTCAAATAGGTGGCATACTTGTCCATGGTTAGGATGAGATCCGAGACCTCTGGGATTTCTAGATTCCCAATCCAGTGCTCCTTTGATCAAGCTATGATGTCTTTTCCCTTCTGGGAAAAGTGTCTGTGGTTGTCCCATCCTTGTTTGGATGGAGAGATGGCACCCAGAAGGATGTTCCAGGGATTGAAGGCCTGAAGATCAGGGTGCCGGCAGAGGAACATGTGACAACCAGCAGAAAGGATCAGAGCAAAAGACCTAGAAAAGAGAAACAATGTGGAGACACACACTGACACATGGAGGGGGTTGGAAAAGGCCAAGCTGAGCAGCCAGCAGGGGCCACGTTGGGCAGGGCCTGGAGGACCAAACTAGGAGTTCAAACTAGTACCATGGTCTTCGTGGACTCAAAGGGAGAACACTGGAGGGTTTAAACAGGGAAGCACCAAGATGAGTGACAGGCCTGGGACCTGTCTGGCTGCAGTTCAGAAAACATTGATGTAGAAGGAGGAGGGGGTTAAGCCCTCCAGGCAGGGAGGCAGGCCAGTGGCTGCTGCTCTGATCCGGGTGATTTGAGGTCTACTTGACAGACTGAATGACTGATTGGATGTGGGGTCTGAGGGAAGAGGCAAAATGCCAGTTTCTGACTTGGGTACCCAGGTAGTTAGCAAGATCATTCCCTGAGATGGGAGCCCAGGGAGCTACTGGTTGGGGGAAGAGGGTGGTTCAGTATGAGGTAGACTGGGTGTAAGGAGACTCTGAGGCATCCCACAGGAATGTCCAGGGGAAGCTTAGGACCTCACATTGTTGGCTGGACTCTCAGATGCCATCTAGCCTGACACATCCCTGCTTTCCAGATGGGGGTGGGTACTGTTGGGAAAAGTATGAACGGCAGCCATACCCCAGAGAAAAAACCCCAACATGGCGCCTAAGCACCTCTTTTTCCTACCTTCTTCTTTTCTGCAGTGGCGCGAAAAGTTCCCGCCGGTGTGAACTCTCCCGCCGGCGCCAATTTCAAATCTCGCTGGCGGGGAACCTTAGCCCCAATGAGAACTAATTCCTGGGCTCCAGAGCTGATATCTGAAAGAACTTGCCAATAAACGGGTTGCCTGCCATTTATCTAAACCCTACCATCTCCCCCTTAGTTCTATATAAGCACACTGCTTTTTGCAATAAAATTGGAATTCTCCCGGCGAAGTGTCTTTGCGTGGGGAATTCTTTCAGGTACAGGAAGCATTTGAATCTCCTCCTCACTAACTGGTGTACTTGCAAAGCTTTGGAGACAGACAAGTCCCAGGTCTGCTTATACTCTCCATGTGACATTGGGTAATTTAGTTAATACTTCTTTTTTTTTTTTTTTTTTTTTTTTTTTTTTTTTTAAACATATTTATTTATTTAGTTAGTTATTGGCAGACACAACATCTTTGTTGGTATGTGGTGCTGAGGATCGAACCCGGGCCACACGCATGCCAGAGGAGCGTGCTACCGCTTGAGCCACATCCCCAGCCCTAGTTAATACTTCTGATTTCAGGTCCCATCGTGCAGTTACTGAGCTTCACAGTGCCTAGCTCAGGGCCTAGAGCTCTGATGCCCAAGGGGCACTGAGGATCAGCTGGGGGGCCTGTAGGAGGCTGAGGGCAGCAGGGCTCAGGCAGCTGGGAGAAGTCTGACTGCTTTGCTTTGCTCTCTCCAATCCACCCATAGGTTCAGAACATCAGCCTCAGAGAGGGGGAGACAGTAACCGTGGAGAGCCTGGGGGGCCCTGACCCGCTGCCCCTGGCCAATCAGTCTTTCCTGCTACGGGGCCAAGTCATCCGCAGTCCCACCCACCAAGCAGCTCTGAGGTTCCAGAGCCTCCCACCACCGGTTGGGCCTGGCACCTTCCATTTCTACTACCAAGGTAAGACCTGGGAAGCTAAGAGAGGAACCAGCCCAGGCTGGCTGACCTCTGGGGATGTCTGGTGCTGTTACAGCTGAGGGGACAAAGGGAGGGGCTAATAACCTACTGCACAGGTGCCCAGTAAGCTCTATACAAATATAAGTATGGCTCATGGGACTCAGGAGCAGGTAGCCCCCAGGTGTTGCCACCGTCATCTGCTCGTTCACTCATTCAGTACAATTTGAAGGCACCTACTCTTTGCCAGGCTTGTGCTGGACTTTGGGAATATCAAGTTGTACTAGCCCAGGCCCTTGCCCTCAAGGTTTCAGAATCTCAGGAGGAGGCAGTCATTTACACAGGCAATAACAATAGAAGCCTCTCTCCAAAGGGGGGGTCAAGGTCAAAGGGGTTTGAAAATGACTATCTGGAGGCCTTCCTCCTCTACCTGGGACCTGCCTTTGCTCCAGTCAGCTCATAACACTTTGGGAAGAAGGAGGTGGCATGGTGTAGTGGGGATCTCTTAGGCTCAGGAGATGGGCAAATCTGCATTTGAATCTCCTTCTCACTAACTGTTTACCTCAGAGGTCATTTCACCTTTCTGACCCTCCTTTTCTTACTGTAAAATGAGACCAAAAACATCTACCCCACAAAGTCATGGTTAGGAGTATACAAAATGGGTGGGCATGGTGGCACACACCTTTAATCCCAGCGGCTTTGGAGGCTGAGGCAGGAGGATTGCAATTTCAAAGCCGGCCTCAGCAAAGTGAGGCGCTAAACAACTCAGTGAGTCCTTGTCTCTAAGTAAAATACAAAATAGGGCTGAGGAGGTGGCTCAGTGGTCAAGTGCCCTGAGTTCTATCCCTGATCCCCCGTGCCCCCCACCCAAAAAAAAGGAGTACAAAAAAAAACAGTGCAAATCAAGTGCTCCACTAAGGAAACTAGTATTGCACAGTTTGCAGGATGGGAAGGGGAGGAAAAGGGGACTTGGGACTCTGCTGCTCCTCCAGTGGTATCCTTCCTGCCCATCCCACTCCCTGGGCCCAAATAGCAACTTGATTCTTTGCACCAGTTAACCAGTTCAGACTGGAGAGCACTAATTGGGAAATAATTGGTGTGAACAATCCCGAGATTGTCTTGCATTGTTGTGGGCACTTCTGCAGCCCTGCGGGGGAGGGGGTGGAGGGGGACCAGCAGGTGGGCAGGCACTCCAGAGCTAGGCATGTCCTGTACCCCACCCTAGGAGTATTTGCCCTATTCTGGCTTCTCCACTCAAACTGGGGGAGCAGTCTGGCGTGGCAGCAGGGAGTCTGTAGGTGGGCTGGGATTTGGCAGAGGCAAGGGGCCGGCCGAGGCCGGGGTGAGCATCTAGGCGGCCCGCCAGTCTCCCTAATGGCTCATCAATCCTCCCAGGCAGCCGGCGTAATTTCACGCCATGGTAACCTTTTCTCTTGCCGCAAATTCCTTTGCACAAAACTCCAGAACCCCCTCTCTGTCAGGCCAGAGGAAAGTGGCTGAATGGCAATGGGTTGGAGGCCCAGCAAAGGGGAGCAGACCCCAAGGAAGGGCTGGGAGAACTGGCCCGGTCCTGCTCTTTCTGGGCTCCCGGAAGCCCTCCCTCCTCGGCCCAGTTTTTGTCAATGATCAGCTCTTTCCTTAATGAGTGTAATTCCCCTAATTATAGGCTGTAATTAGCCCTGATCCCAGAGATGGGAACAGGAGGAGCGTGTACTCACACGCGCATCTCGTGGGCTGGAGAAAGAGGGTGCCAGGAGGGGAGGGAGAGGCCTAGTACCCATGCCAGTGTGGGAGCTGTCCAAGCCAATGTGGGAGGTCACAAAGATGGGTCCCCACAAGGGCAACATTGGCAGGACCAAGTTCCAACTCACCACGCTCTCACAGTCTCTGGCAGGGTAGGAAGGCAGTGGGTCCTGACAGCGAACCCCTCCTCCATCCTGAGCACTCCTGGCTCTGAACTTGGCTCCAAAAACAGATGCCAATGAGAAAATAACTCAACAGATTGCGGTGGTGCAGCATCGCCCAACGGTTGTCATGGCAATAGGAGGAAGCTCATCCTGGGAAGAGGCATTTTAACCATTATAAAGGCTTGGGGGCTTCATTCTCTGCCCCCAGCCTGTTGCCCTTGCCTCATCCTGGCCCCGTTTCCTCATCTGTGAAATGAGGGGACCTCTGTTCCCAAGCTGTGCTTGAACTCAAGGGGAAGTTGCAAGTGCAAGTGCTGAGCCTAAAATCTGGCTCAGGGTCTAGACCTCCTGGGGGTGGTGCCCCATCCTCTCCTCTCTTTGTATAGTGTCCCAAGTTCTTTCACAATCCCCATCCCATCATGGTCTGGGATTTCTCCTCAGGGCATTGGGACCAGCCACCCTAAACCCAGGGCAGCCTTGTCTGTTATCCTCAGGTTTATCTGAACCTAGGTTTCTGCTTTGACTGGGGAAGTAGGAGTAGGAGAGTGTGGAAAACCAATGGGCTCCAGAGCCAGGTCAAGTCCCTACTCTAGCACTTACCTGCAGTGTGATGATGGCACACAGGCCCTCTGAGCCTGTCTCTCTGAACCTCTGTTTTCCTTATCAAAACATGGGTTAATAACCCCTACCTTGCCTATCTCCTTCCCAAGCAAATTGTATCAAGTAAAAAGGGTGTGAGAGGGCTGGGGGCTAGAGCTTAGTCGGTAGAGTGCTTCCCTTGTATGCACAAGGCCCTGGGTTCAATCCCCAGCACCACAAAAACAAACAAACAATAAAAGGGTGTGAGAGCACTTCAGAAACTGGCAAATGCTTCAAATGTGAGGTGCTATTATTACTCAAGATTACAAACTAACAGCAAGCTGAGGTGTTAGGTGATAGTTCTAAGCCAGGCATTGCACACATTCCTCTGAGTTAACCTCTACAGCATTGAATGCAATACTCAAAATGGGTGGGGAAACCTGGAAAACTGAGGCACAGAGAAGGAAGGTAACTTGCCTCAGATGACACAGCAAGTAGGGGAGTCCATATTCAAACCCAAACTTTCTGACTCTGGAGCCCACCTCCTAAACATTGCCCTGTACTACCTGCCAATCATAACTAGCCTCTTAATGGCTATTCTCTGTGAAAGAGGAAAGAGTATGACCCATCCTCCTGCTTTCACAGACAAAGCAACCAAGAACAGGACAAGTGAAAGTCACAGAACAGCACAAGACTCGGGTTTTAGGGCTCTGGTCTGCCCAGGAGGGTAGCCCCATTTTCTATTCATGCAAAGACACATAGAGGCATAGCCCAAGCTTGCTCTCAGCCCCTCTCCTTGAACCCTTCAGGCCTTCTACTGCACTTCTCATCCCCAAGTCAGGATCTCCATTTTTAGCCGCCGCACCAAGTTTGTCCCCAGGGCTGGGATTTGCCAAGTTGTTTTGTAGGATTTTCTGCCATCGTGTGGTCATGCTTGGTATGACAATTCCCAAAGTTCCCAGGTTTACCAAAGCAACTAGTCCCACTTTCAACTTCTATGAACGCTGCTCCGCCTCCACACCTTAGCCTTCATCCTCTCTTTAAAAGAAGTCCATCACCATTGCCCCCAAGCTATTTAACATTTCTCAATGAATACTGGGGAGTCTTTTGCTGCTGACTTTAATTTTTCCTGCTGCAATTTATTTTGTCTCCTACAGGGAAAAAGATATCAAAACTTTAGGTCTTATAGGTGGTTTACTATTTCAAGTTCTTTTGCATCTACATATCATTCCATAAAAACTTACTTTTTTCAGTACTGGGGATTGAACCCAGAGACATTTTGCCACTGAATTGCATTCCCAGCCCTTGTTATTTTATTTTTTACTTTGAGAAAAGGTCTCCCTAAACTGCACAAGCTAGCTTTGAACTTGCAATTCTCCTGCCTCAGCCTCACAAGTTGCTGGGAGTGCAGGCATGTGCTAACTGTGCCCAGTCATAAACACTTATTAAACATGTATTGCCAAATTGGGTGCAGTGGTGCACACCTGTAATCCCAGTGACGCTGGAGGCTGAGGCATGAAGATTACAAGGAGTTCAAGGCCAGCCTTAGCAACTTAATGAAGCCCTAAGCAACTTAGCGAAAACCTGTCTCAAAATAAAAGGGGCTGAGGATGTGGCTCAGTGGTAAAGCACCCCTAAGGTTCAATACCCAGAAGGGAAAAAAAATGGATGTGTTATCAGCTGGATGACAGGAAAACCAAATGGAATAAAATACTATCTCATTTAATCTCACAATAAACCTATAGGTGGGCCAGCATGGAGGGAGTGGTACCAGGAATTGAATTCAGGGGCTCAGCCACTGAGCCAAACCCCTAGCCCTTTTTTTTAAATTTTGTATTTTATTTGGAGTCAGGGTCTCACTGAGTTGCTTAGCACCTTGCTTTTGCTGAGGCTGGCTTTGAACTTGCAATCCTCCTGCCTCAGCCTCCCGAGCCTCTGGGATTACAGTGCCCAGCTTGGGCCAGCATTTTGAAACCCATTTAACAAAAGAGGAAACAACACAAAAAGATTAAATAAATTGTCCAAAGTGTCACAAACTTTGGACCAGAACCCAAGCCTCCTAACCTCCAGCTCTTTGCTTGTTCTATTAACCAGCCTAGGCTGCTGAAAACTTCATTGACACCTTCTAGAGAAGGGATCAGGAGCTTTTCAGAAACTTTAATGCTTCCTGGTCCAAATGACACATCAAGGACAAACTGGCACAGGCCTTCACACGCCCTCCCATAATGGCTCAGTCTCCCCCACAACACACAATATCACCTGTTCTTTCTCTGCAGCCTATCTCCTGAGCTGCCACTTTCCCCGACGTCCAGCTTATGGAGATGTGACTGTCACCAGCCTCCACCCAGGAGGAAGTGCCCGCTTCCACTGTGCCACTGGCTACCAGCTAAAAGGTGCCAGGCTCCTTACCTGTCTCAACGCCACCCAGCCCTTTTGGGATTCCCAGGAACCTGTCTGCATTGGTAAGTGGTCACTGGGGAGGAGGCTGAGTAGGAGAGCAAGGCGGGGGCTCAGTCCCACTCTCTATTGCTGTCTGGTACTTTTATTTACTCTCTATAAGGAAATCAGAAAATGGTCAGTCACTTTAGCGGTATTCATCTAACCTGCATTTATTGAGCTCCTACTGTATGGAGGCACCACAGGTAAACAGAGTTAAATTAAATAGGGATTCTGACCTCAAAGAGATCATAGTTCCAGGAAAGGGGAAAGAAGGCACATAGGTCACTAATTTCCAGAGCCGGAAGTAAAAGCTACCAGAAAGAGACATAAAGTAACCTGGAAGGAGAGGAAGCAATCACTCTTAGTCGGGTATTGAGGAAGCTTCCTAGAGGTGGTGGCACTGAAGGGTTGACATCTCCACGGAGGTAACAATGTGGGCAATGACATAGGGACAGGAAGGAGAGGGTGTATAAGGGCACAGAAGACAGCCAGGTGGAGAGGGCAGAGGGAGGGCCTTGACTGGCTGGCCAAGCTATGAGGTGGGGAGCTGTTGAGGTTTTTGAGAGGAACTGGGAGGAGCTCAGAACTATTCTCAGGTGACCCAGCCTGGTGGCGGACTCATCTGAAGTCTGGGAGGCCAGCCAGGCAAGAGGGATTGAACTTCAAACATGTATTTGGGAATACACAGGAAGGAAGAAGTTCCAGAGACCCTGATGAGGGAATGGGAGGAAAGTAAAAGGGGACCCGAGGTTCTGGTCCTGGCCGGCAGCCAACCTAAGGGGGCTCTTGGTGGGTGGGGAAGGAAGATAGGGCACATGTTTTGTCCTCAGTATGACAGGCAACTTTGGCTTTTTTCTTTTGGGGAGGGAAGGGCTTGAGCTTTTGAACCTTATTCCATTCTATAAACTTTTGCTGGTGCTAGCCACAATCAAAGATGAATAAGACAGGTATGTCCTCTGCCCTTAAAGGTATCCCTAGTCTTCTGGGAAGACTGGTGGGCAGCTCAGTACGGCGGGCGGGGGCGGATAGGCTGTGACAGGGCTAACATAAGTGTGTGCCAGGAACCCAGGAGGGGTGGAGGGGGGGGATTCTGAAAGGAGAGAAGAGGCAGCAAAGCTTCCTGAGGAGGAAGTGGAAGGCTTCCAGAAATGTTAGCTTGGGAAAGTGGCACGGATTCTGGAACAGCAATGAAGGTGTGGAGACCTGCAACAGCATGCCACAGTGAGGACGTGGTGAGGTGTGCCTAAAGGAGAGGGTATATAGGAAGGAGAAACTGAAACTGAGCCAGCGGAGCTGGATCCATGAAAGTCTTGAACGCTGTTTTGAACTTGAACTCTATCCTGAGGGCAACAGGGAACCACTGAGTGATTTTTAAGCCAAGTATAGGATGTGATTGGATTTGAAGGGCGAGTTCATGCTGAGACCAAGCTGAAAGGTAGTTCCACCTTCTCTGCCAAGAAATAGAGAAGAGATCATCCCGGCCCCCTAAAAAAAAATGTATTAGGTTACAATATTCTGCTAAATGAAGCATTTGCAGGCAACAGTACTGGGTACTGGTCATGATACCCTGATCGCTGAGAGCAGGAGGGTCCAGAGCAGTGACCAGGAAAGGAAAGCCCAGAACCAGCCAGCTCCTCCTGCTTTAGGCCCCTTTGTTGGCCCCACTTAACTGCCAGGAGTTTGTGACCAAGTAGCACAGGGACCCTGCCAGCTGGGCTCAGGTGACCTACTCAGCCTTTCCTTGGGAAGAGAGGACAGTACCAGGCCAGAGGGGTCAGTCTGTAGAGGCCCTAAGGTATCAGCCCAGGAATGACACTAGTGATGACTGAAGAGCTATTTCAGAAAGTATTGGAGGCCACCTCCGGCCAGCAGTGTTGCCAAGGCACAGGTTTTGGGGTGGATGGCAGACAAATCAGGCATTTGCCCTCCCTAGTCTAGTCCTGCTCCTCTTTTTTACATTCATTCACTCATTCTACTCACCTAGCCCTGAACACCCACTCTGCCCCTGGCCTGAGATGACCTGGTTCCTGCACCAGGGGGTCCTACTGAAGGGACAGATCTAAACAAATAAATGGTTTTATTTTGTTTATTTGTTTATTCACTTATTTATTTATTTATTCATTCATTCATTTTTGCAGCACTGGGGATCAAACCCAGAGCCGCACACAAACCAGGCAAGCCAGATAACTGGTTTTGAGAAAAGGAGCATGAGTCAGAGGTAGCAGATGTATCCAGGAAGGTCAATACCTAGACTAAGGACTTTAATAAAATCTATTTTGGGATTTGGGGAAGCCAGGGAAGGCCTCCTAGAAGAGTCAACAGAGAGGGAGGGAACTGGGCATGGTGACACATGCCCATAATCCCAGCAACAGGAGGCTGAGACAGAAGGATCAAAAGTTTGAGGCCAGTCATCTTAGAGAGACACCGTTTCAAAAAACAGAGGGAACATTATCCCAGTCCATAAAGCTAGGCAGTGACAGATCTACTGGCAATCAGGACAGTTGCATATGGCTGGATGTGGTGGCACACACCTGCAATCCCAGCAGCTCAGAAGGCTGAAGCAGGAGGATTGCAAGTTCAAAGCCAGCCTTAGCAATTTAGTGAGGCCCCCAGCAACTTAACAAAATGCTGTCTCAAAGTAAAAACAAACAAACAAAATTAAAGAGGGCTGAGGATGTGGCTCAGTGGTAAAGCACCTCTGAGTTCACCCCCCGCCCCCTAAAAAATGCATATGAGAAGTCTCAGAGATGTGAAAGTTAGTTTAGGAGGTAGGAGGATTCTGAAGTCCAGGCTGCCTGGAACTGCAGGGTCATAGGGCTAAAATATGGACCACTAGGACCATGGCAGCGGAGTTGGCAGAGAGACAAAGGTCCCTATGCCCCATGTAGAAGGGACAGGGCTGGGATGGGGAGGAAGGCTTGTGAGGCTGCTAAGGATACATTCAGAGACCCAGCCCAAGTCCATCCCTGTCTCAAAGCTGCCTGCGGTGGAGTGATCCGCAATGCCACCATCGGCCGCATTGTCTCTCCGGGCTTCCCGGGAAACTACAGCAACAACCTCACCTGCCACTGGCTGCTTGAGGCTCCTGAGAGCCAGCGGCTGCACCTGCACTTTGAGAAGGTCTCCTTAGCAGAGGATGATGACAGGTGAGGGGCTGTCCTAGTGGGTGGGAGTGCCTGACCGGGTAGTACCCTTTTGGAGGGATGCCGAAGCCTGGGGCCACACCCTGTCTGGGTCAGTGACCAGCCACATAGCTGCCACTCTCCTGGCCTAGGCTCATCATTCGCAATGGGGACAATGTGGAGGCCCCGCCTGTGTATGATTCCTACGAGGTGGAATACCTGCCCATTGAGGGCCTGCTCAGCTCTGGCAGACACTTCTTTGTGGAGCTCAGTACTGACAGCAGCGGGGCAGCTGCAGGCATGGCCCTGCGCTATGAGGGTGAGCCTGCTGGGGCCTCACAGGGTGGGGACTAGGGCCTTCCTCCCATACCTTCCCCCTCTGCCTCCATTCTATCACATCCTTCCAAGTTGGCCACCCCCTGCCCCTCCCCTGGGGCCCAGGATTCCCAGAGCCTCTTGTCTAGATTCAGGCCCTCTGGTCCAAAAGAATTAATTCTCCAGAGTTTCAGAAGCAAAATTGGCCCTAATACTTGAGAAGAGACCCATATATGCATGCATTCATTAATCCACTTTAAAAAAAATCTACCCAGCAACTTCTATGCATTAAACACAAAATTAGGCAATGGAAATACAATGGTGATCAAGATGGCCTCCTGAGCATAATAGAGATGGATGCTCTGGGCTGTTCCCATCCCCCCACTGCTCCCTGCTCCAAGCCCAGGACATACCTTTGCATTTAGGAATGAAAAGGGGAGGGCAGTAGAAGATGTCTGCCCCATGTTTACCCTGTTTGAGGCTGAGCTGGACTGGCTCTGTGCTTCACAGCCTTCCAGCAGGGCCACTGCTATGAGCCTTTTGTCAAATACGGCAACTTCAGCAGCAGCGCACCCTCCTACCCTGTGGGTACCACAGTGGAGTTCAGTTGTGACCCTGGCTACACCCTGGAACAGGGCTCCATCATCATTGAGTGCATTGACCCCCACGACCCCCAGTGGAATGAGACAGAGCCGGCCTGCCGAGGTCAGTAGGCACTAGAGGAGGGGCCTGCAAGGGCAGTGAGTAGGGTGGGTACCAAGGAGATAGCCACAGATTCTGGGGCCACAGGGGCCCTGTGACATGTGCAATTCATATGTTCCCCTGAGGTGGAGAGAGGGGCTCCCAGCAATGGGTGAGTGCTTCTGTGGGCAGGTGGCAGCCCCTGGACAGTACTGGGGAGAAAACGGAGGGGACGTGCCTCCCGGGCCTCCCTTGCCTTCCAGCTGTGTGCAGTGGGGAAATCACAGATTCAGCCGGCGTGGTGCTCTCCCCCAACTGGCCAGAGCCCTATGGCCGTGGGCAGGACTGCATCTGGGGTGTGCACGTAGAAGAAGATAAACGCATCATGCTGGACATCCGAGTGTAAGTGCCTTCCGGTCAGGCCAAGCCAACTAACTCCTGAGGTCTAAGGACATATCTTATCTAGTCCATCGGGGTCTCAAGGGCCTTTCCTGACCTGTTTGTCCTCCATCCTCCTCCACAGGCTGCGCATAGGCCCTGGTGATGTACTTACTTTCTATGATGGGGATGATCTGACAGCTCGAGTCCTGGGCCAGTACTCGGGGCCCCGTGGCCACTTCAAGCTCTTTACCTCTATGGCTGATGTCACCATCCAGTTCCAATCGGACCCAGGGACTTCAGTGCTGGGCTATCAGCAGGGATTTGTCATCCATTTCTTTGGTGAGCTTGTCCCTGGCTCACTCCAAATGCAGACACCAAATCATGGCAGATCAAAGAGGATAGGGTAATCAGGAGCCTGAGTGCTCTTTTTGAAAAGGGAAAGCTGGAAGAGCTCCAGGAGAAAAAGAGCCCTTTTGTTGCAGCATGAAGGATTTGGAGAGGCAGCAGGAGGAACTTTCCTTAACAAAGAAAAAAAGCTGCTGGGAATGGTGGCACATGCCTATAATCCCAGCAGCTTGGAAGGCTGAGGCAAGAGAATTGTGAGTTCAAAGCCAGCCTCAGCAACTTAGCAAGACCCTGTCTGTAAATAAAATATAAAAAAGGGCTGGGGATGTGGGCTCAGTGGTTAAGCGCCCCTTGGTTCAATCCCTGATACCAAAACAACAACAACAACAACACACACACACACACACACACACCCAAAAAAAAAAAAAAAAAAAAACCTAAGGAAAAGTGTTGGACTCTATTTACCTTTCTACCTGTCTTTAATAGAAATGACAATTTATTTTCCTTACACTATCTGGCCTCTTCTCTCTGGCCAGAGGAACTGGCCAAGGTGCTTTGGGAAATAAGGCTGAAGTTTAGATGATTCCCCTGATATTCAGAAGACAGAACAATGTCAGGGACAGGCAAGGAGGGACCCCTGAGCCGGGAGGAATGAATCTGAGCCTGCCCTGGCCAGTCTAGGCCCAGGACAAAGTGGAAGAAGCTAGAGTGCCCTTGAGTTAAGGGTCTGGCCCAGTTGCTTTGGTGTTGGCTAAAGGATTGCATCTTGCTGCCTCTGTGCCCCCAGAGGTTCCCCGCAATGACACATGTCCAGAGCTGCCCGAGATCCCCAATGGCTGGAAGAGTCCATCACAGCCTGAGCTGGTGCATGGCACTGTGGTCACTTACCAGTGCTACCCTGGCTACCAGGTGGTGGGATCCAGTGTCCTCATGTGCCAATGGGATCTAAGCTGGAGTGAGGACCTGCCTTCATGCCAGAGAGGTAAGTGTCCCTGTTCCCCCTTGATCCCCTGCCCAATCCAACCTGCAAGCCCCTCTCCTGGGTTTATGAGAGAGAATCTAGTGTGTTGTCCCCACTGTCTTAGCTGGTATTCTTGAAGTTCTTATACCTCTCAGCCTTAGTTTCCTCATCTATGAAATGATGATACCTTTTCATAGGGTCATCAGCCAAGTACTCCAAGTTATTTCATTCCTGGTTATGGCAAATCAGTATTTGTTGACCCTAATGAATGGAAGGAAACACACCAGAAAAATGGTAGAGACATTGAAGTAGGAGGTGGAGTCATGTAATACGAAAATATTAGTTGGCTGGAACAAAGCCATGGGCGGATTGGCCTTTGTTGAGTCCTCTCTCCATCACCTCCCATTCATAGTGACTTCCTGCCATGACCCTGGGGATGTGGAACATAGCCGACGCCTCATATCTAGCCCCAAGTTTCCTGTGGGGGCCACCGTGCAGTATATCTGTGACCAGGGTTTTGTGCTGACGGGAAGTGCCATCCTCACCTGTCATGACCGCCAGGCTGGCAGCCCCAAGTGGAGTGATCGGGCCCCCAAGTGTCTCTGTAAGTGTCAGATGGGTAGGAGGGGAGTCTCTGGTTGGAAATAAAAGAGGCTGCCCTTGGCCTAGAGGCTTGGCATTCTCACTGGGCTCTGCCTGCTCTGCAGTGGAACAGCTTAAGCCGTGCCATGGCCTCAGCGCCCCTGAGAATGGTGCCCGCAGTCCTGAGAAGAGGCTACACCCAGCAGGAGCCACTGTCCACTTCTCATGTGCCCCTGGCTATGTGCTAAAGGGCCAGGCCAGCATCAAGTGTGTGCCTGGGCATCCCTCGCATTGGAGTGACCCCCCACCCATCTGTAGGGCTGGTGAGTGCCCTGCCCTCCCTCAAAACCTTGCCTAGCCCACAGGGCTACTCTGGCAAAGATGTCCAATGTTGAGAACCAGAACCACCTTCCTGTGTCACCCTTCACATTACCTTGGTCTCCCCAGTCTCTGCCAAATCCTTCTGACCTGGAGTGGGCTCTCCTTGGACAAATCCTTCCTGTGATCAGCCCACTACCTCTGCTCCTTGCATTAGTGGTTTGGCCCACTGGGCTCACCCACTGCCCTTGGCCCTCCCCTCTTGTTCCAGCCTCTCTGGATGGGTTCTACAGCGGCCGTAGCCTGGATGGTGAGTCCTCACCCTTGAGGGCCAGGGAAGTGGTCTCCCTGCACCTGGTTGTCACAGCAGCTCCCAGGCCACGGGTTCCCCACAGGTAGAAGGCAAAGAAAGAGAGGTCTGGGCCTAACAGGGTGAAAAATTCTTTCCCTACTCCTAGAGAGCTAAAGGGAACTGCTATCTGGCTGCCTTTGGGCAGAGATTAGAAGTGGGCTCCTGGTGACAGGGACCTCTGTCCAATCCCATCCTCTGTTTTCAGTTGCCAAAGCACCTGCTGCCCCTAGCACCCTGGATGCTGCCCATATCGCTGCTGCCATCTTCTTGCCGCTGGTGGCAATGGTGCTGTTGGTGGGAGGTGTGTACCTCTACTTCTCCAGGTGAGTGTGCCTTCCCTTCTTGCTCTGCATACCTGACTCACTCCTGCACTGCACTCCTGCCTTACAGGCTTCTCTGCCCTACAGGCTCCAGGGAAAAAGTCCCCTGCAGCTTCCCCGAACGCGTCCTCGCCCCTATAACCGCATCACCGTGGAGTCAGCATTTGACAATCCAACCTATGAGACTGGAGTAAGTACCCAGGCTAGCCTTGACACCCTCTCCAGAATTCAGTTCTCTGCTCCCTTGGATAGATATCCCTGAGGGTCCTGCTAAGCCCTCTCTCTTTCCCTTTTCCTTGGGAAGGTGGATTATGACCTAGCAAGCCTTATACAAGTTTCCAACTCCCAGCAGTCTCTTTCCTTTGCAGGAGACGAGAGAATATGAAGTCTCCATCTAGGTGGGAGCAGCCCAGGCAGGTTCACGCAGCCCAGCATCATGGCTCCTGGCTTCCTGCTGTCGCTCTGGCTCCTGTACATACCACTTGGGAAGAGATGCCATCCATCCCTCAAGAAGTTGTGCAATGCCTATGATGGCCTATTTTCTTGGCACCACTGCTCACTTAGGGCCCTTCCTTAGGCCCAAGTCAAGGGGTACCTGACTCAAGGGACACCTGTCATCATCAATAGCCAGTGTTCTCTCAAACATTCCCCACACTCTGGCCCTCCTGCCTGGAAGGCAGAACAGGAGCACCTCTTTTCCCATGGCTACCACCCAGCCCTGGACTAACTCAACAGTGGTGGAAACCACACCAGGCTGCTACTCACAGGGCCATCACCAGGAGTGAAAACCACTCTCAATGGTGGCCTTGGGTAGTCCTGGAGTGCCAACATTAGCCCCTTAGGGCAGTCTCTGGCCCTTCGCTAAAGCCTCAGAAATGGACAATTCAGCCCCCTGCCCTGAAATAGTGGAGGCAATAATTCTAAGGGACCCAAAGGGTGTAGGGACTCTACCCAAGTTCAGGGTGGGCTCCAATGGGCACATATACTCCACACCAAAGCAGGACACCCGACTGCTCCCTTGCAGCCCTATACCCTGAAGTGAGGGGGGACCCTCTCCTGATGTTTGTTGGCCTATTACAAATACCCCCTTTCTTATTAGTCCTTCATCCAAGCCCCTTGGCAGGCTGCTCCTCCTGCCACTGTGTAATGGCGTAAGGGGAGTGGGCAGGTATATTCTGGAGATGAGCAGAGGTCCAAGGACCCAGGAATTTAGCATGGGACAGAGTCTGAGAGCCCCAGGAGCTGGCTGAAGGCAATTTTGTATATATAATGTATTATATGGGGTCTGAGCTCCAGCCAGAGAACAATCTTTTATTTCTGTTGTTTCCTTATTAAAATGGTGTTTTTGGAAAAAAAAATCAAGCAATGTTCAGGTGGATGGTGCTTTCTTGGAGGGAAGGGGGGTGGTAGATGAATGGGACATGAACCTCAGGACCATATGGTATGCTGAACCCACTAACCAATATCCCTCAGCTTTTATTTTACATGCAGTTGAGTAGGCACCATGGTCCCCAAAAGGTCAATGCAACAAATGGCAGGTGAAATGAGAGCTTCCACTGGGTGGTGCCACAGGGGTGAGAGCCTAGGAACCCAGCTGTTCATTCATTCCAATACCTCACTTCTTCCTCTACTAGATCTAGAAGAGTAAGCTGGCACACTACCAAACCTTTTTCAATGCCACTGGATTGCCAACAAGACCCAGGAAGCCTGACACATCTCTCCTTTCCCTTCTTTTCAAGCAAGCAAGCCTTGGTAAATTGGAATAGGGATCAGAAACTGAACTCCTGGACATTAAGCCTTAGTTTGACTTAGCCTCAGAAACCATCCAGATTGTCAAGAGCAGGGACAATGAAGTTTAAGGGTTTGGTACCTAAGTTAGGCAAAAGCCCAGGGGATATGGAAAGAGTGGCTAGGTGGGATCTACTTGACTTCCCCCTCCATATATCCCACAGAGCTTCCTGAGATGAAAGTATCTGCTTGGCGTAGGTCCCCAGCATGCACATTCCATGCTTGTTAGAGGTGTGCCCTGCATGGCTGCTCTCCAGAATAAGAGCAAGGGAAATATGGGAACTCAAAAGCCAGAAGACAAAAGTCCCTGAAATAAAAAATAGCAGCAACCAGCACCTTCAGCTTCTGAAGTCTTCCAATTGGGAGGTCTTGACCACAAATCATGGCATTAGACAAGCAGCTTTGAAGGAACCATAAGTTCCAGTTCATGCAGAATGCAATGCCTATATTAGCCACAAGAGGTCGCTTCCAAAGGCATCTGTATCCCACCTGCTCTTCCCCAATTCCTCTTAAACAACTAGCGCAGGAGCTCTCCAAGGTGGCACCAACTCCTGTCACCACTAGGCTGACCTATCTTCCAACTTCCAAGAGGGAAAGTGTGTGGAGTGTCTAGCTCCCCTGGCACTTGTCAACAAAGTCAAGTCTTGTTTCCTTCATTGGCCCCGGCCTGTTCCTGTTCTCAGCTGCAACTGATAGTGATGATCAAAGCAAAGCTCTGCTTACTGGGTATGTGCCAATGGCTGACTTCTCTCTCCCATAATACCTTCAGGCTGACACAGCAGCATAACTGGGCTCTCAGCAGGGGGAATGAAACCAAAGAGGGCACATGAAGTGTTAACTTCTAAGGAATTGTGACATAAAGTACAATTACAGGAAGAACAAGGTTTTGCCTCTTCCATACAAGCAGTCTAGCTCCCTTTCTGAGGATCACACCTCTGACCCAATAAAGTCTGTTGTTTGCTAAGGCTGACAGAAGGCATAAAGTAGTCAATTTACATGACATTCTTTACTACTGCGTGAGCTTACTCTTTTAAGGTACCAAAATAGTAATCAGAAGAGTGAAAGTTTAGGGCTGGGGTTGTAGTTCAATGGTAGAACACTTGCCTCACCTCACATGCGTGAGGCACTGGGCTAGCTCCTCAGCACCATATAAAAATAAATAAATAAATAAATAAATAATGATATTGGGTCCATTTACAACTGAAAAAAAATTTTTTTTTTTTAAAGAAGGAGCTGGGGTTGTGGCTCAGTGGTAGAGCACTCACCTAGCACGTGCGAGGCCCTGGGTTCGATCCTCAGCACCACATATAAATACATAAATAAAGGTATTGTGTCAAATACAACTAAAAAATATGTATTAAAAAAAAAGGCAGAGTGAAAGTTTAGAAAACCAGAAACCTGATACTGCACACACTCTCACCCCCACCCTAACTCCTCCTCCTTAATGTCCCAATTGTTGCAGCGGCAATAATTCCTTGGAGACAGCAAGCATGGCGTAGTGGACACTGGTTTGTGAATCAAGAAATGTTTCATGCTTAGGTTTGCCATAAAGTCACTTATGTGAGCTCTGCAAATCACTGCTCCATACGTCCAACTGGAAATGGATTAAATTAGGTGGTCTCTAAGCCCTTTTCAGTTTTACAACTCGAGAATGTTTTGTGTGTGCCTTCACATTAGAAGTGGGCAGCAGCCAGACATGGTGGCGCATGCCTATAATCCCAGAGACTCCGGAGGCTGAGGTAAAAGGATAAAAAACCTCAGCAAATTAGTGAAGCCCGTCTCAAAATAAAAAATAAAAAGGACTGGGGACCGTGGTTCAGGGGTTGAACGCCCCTGGGTTCAATCCCCCAAACACTCCTCCCCCCCCAAAAAAAAAGCGGGACACATACACATGTCAACAACGATAATTAAACGCTTTTTGTCAGAGACAACCACGCAGCTCCCTCCTCATTTGCTTCATCCACTGTCTGGAGTAGTATACCAAGGGAAGGGGAGGGGCCAGCGCCGAGACAGAAGCATGACTCTCCGCCCAGAATTCGAGGTGAGAGGGTTCAGACTACAAATCCCAGTACACAGCTCGGCAGCTCTCAGAAGTATCCCTTCCCAGAGGGCAAACCACTCTCCCTGATCCACCCTACAGTACGGAGCACCACACGCACACGGAACTACGACTCCCATAATCCATCAGAACTATCGCGATTCTTGTTCCCAGAGTGCAAAGCGCGCCCATTCACCCTTTGACCCCTCTGCGCATTGCAAACTGGGAGTTGGAGTCCACTGTAAGTCAGGCAGCTGGGCGTGGTCAATTATACGGACTCTCGGCTTTTGGCTTCATCTTGAAGAACAGTTCTCAGGGAGAGTTATCAAAAGATGGTAGTAATAGGCAGGTGGAACACCCCACAGTGCCGTCACCATACAAGGCAGGGATGGTCGGGCTACAATTAACTGTCGGGAGCGGGAGTGATGTGGGAATAGCAGCCACCCAGTCCGCCACCAAAGGCGTCGTTTTTTGTCGCAATGGCTTTTCTTTTCGCTTTACTAATATGGCGGCCTGGTCCAGCCACACCTGACGCCAGAACCAAATAGTCCAGTACAATATCCCAATGAATACCGCTATCGCCGACAGCCTACCAGCTCCATCCATCACCACATCTTGCTCCTTCCTGCTCTTGCCTGAGGACTTCAAGGGCACGATAGCCCATGTCCCATTACCAAAATGGCGAAAAGAGAAGCTTTCTTTTGAGGGCCTGCAGGTGACAATACGCCTGCGCGGGAGCCGGCAGTGTGGTTATGAGGCGGGAGGGGAGCACGCCCAATACGCCTGCGCGGGAACAGCGTCCTCTCGGTCTACACACAAAACACCAATGGATGAAGAGTCCCCAGGTTCGTGCGGCTGCGCCATGACCCCTGTGAGCTTTCCCAGGCGCCTGCGCGAGACATCAGGTCCCGCCCTTTTAGCTCAGTACGCTGGCGCAGGGCAGAAGGGCGGGGCTTCGGGGCTCCAGCCGGATGCCAGCGCGGCTGCGCGCTGGGGGGTACCCCCTTACCGCGGCTGCGCGGGAGCCCGGTCGCCGGCTGTCACTGCGGTTGCGCGCGGCGAGCCGCGATCCCGGGGCGCCTGCGCGGGTGGCTTTGCGGGCGCTCGCGGTAAGTTTGCGCCAAGTGCGCGGCAGCCGGGACGCAGACGGCGGCGGCGGCGAGAGGCGGAGCCCGGGGACCACCCCCCAATACCCTCCCCCAAGTCACCTCACGTACCACAACCTCACCTAACCTCTCAGCCCCCCCCCCGATCCCCCCAACCCCGGGATGGCAGCGCCCGCCAGCTTTCCCGGCCGGACCAGCGGTCACCAGCGCCGGCTTTAGCCTGTGGGACTAGGCCCCGCCGAGGCCTGACCCCCGGAGCCGGGACCCACTGTGCAGTCAGCCGCTGGGCCGGGACTGAGGGGCCGCTCCCCCCTCACGGCCCGTGGGGAGGACGCTGCCGTCCCAGGAACTGGGGGCCGGGGGGTGGGGGGGAGCCTGGGCGAGGAAGTCGGGACCCGTGTTGGGAAAAAAGAAGGGGAACCGGGGTCAGGAGCCCCCCCTTCCCCCAAATCCCCCCTCCCCCCGGGGTTGGGGGGGCCGGAGGAGAGAGCGCCCAGCCCGGGAGTTGGATGAATGTGGGAGAAAATGGAGACCAAGACGATCGTGTACGACTTGGATACGTCGGGGGGGCTGATGGAGGTAAGAGTGGCCCTCCTCATCCCCTTCCCCCAGCGTCGGGAGGGAACCTCCGCCCTCCGCCCCACAAAGCCGACCCTAAGCTCAAAGCACTAGAGCACCGGGGGAGGGGGGGTTTCTTCCTCGCCCAGTCTCTCTCCCATCTTTGCAATTTGGGGGCTTGAGCTCAGTCTCCGAGGACGTTTGCAGCAGTTTCACCTACCCGCCGCCCTCGATTTTGCTCTCCCGAGTTCCAGCCCACTCCATCTCGTTGCACCGGCGGGCCTCCCCACCCCCTTCTTGTCGGCCCCTTTGTGCTTCCCCCAACACGTCCGGGTACCGGGCTTCGGGCCTCTCCGGAGCTGGGCTTTGGAGTCCCCCACTGTCCATACAAGGAAGTGGCGAGAAGGGAACCGCGCACCCTCTCCCCATCCCCCTACCCTGATCCTCCCCATTTGGAAGAAGCTCTTCTCGTTGTTGTGCGGCAGGAACGCAGTTAGGGTGGGCTCCCCCTGGTTCCGGGGGCTGAGAGGTTCTGGGAGCAGCCTGGATGGGAGGAAGAAGGACAAAAGGGGGGAGAGGGGTGAGTGACGGAGAAGCCGCGCCGGGGGGGCGACGGACTGCCCGGGAACTCCGAGTATGCACACACGCTGTTTGTATGTGTGTGCAGCAAATCCAAGCTCTGCTGGCTCCCCCCAAGTCGGACGAGGCAGAAAAGCGGAGTCGGAAGCCGGAGAAGGAGCCCCGAAGAAGCGGCAGGGCCACCAACCACGACAGCTGCGATAGCTGCAAGGAAGGTGGAGATCTCCTGTGCTGCGACCACTGCCCGGCTGCCTTCCACCTCCAGTGCTGGTAAGGTCTGGGGACCCCTTTGGAGCCCCTTGGCTGACCCTCCTCGACACATTCCTTCACCTGGCCTGCCCCTGCCTGCTGAAATAACGGGCGCTTGTAGCCGCTAGCTGACTCTGCAGCCGCTGGGGCGAGCGCCTCCCCGCCCCCCGTGTGCTGCAGTGAACTGGCCGTTTTGCAGGAACCGGCAGCGGTGGGTCCGGACCCAGGGGTGGGTGTTGGGAAGAATGAGGCAAGCCTCATCTGAGATTGGAAGTCTCTGGGGAGTCGAGACCGAGCGGGCCGAATACGGCCGGCGGTGGCGGGGGAGGAAGGGGAGGAGCTCCCGGCTCAGTGCAGCTCGGCTGCTCGCGCGCCCGCCACCTTCAGGGCTCCTGCGGGGCCGGGATCTCCTCGGGGTGGGTGCGCGGAGTCCTCGGCTGTCCAGCCACCCTGGTCCAGACCTCGGCGACCCGGTGCTTGCGGCTGTGGAGGAAATCATGGAGGGTGTCTCTAGTTCTCCTGTTCTTTGCCTCTCTGTTTACAATATGGCGACCTGCCTTTAAATTATATTTTTATTCTCAGCGCCATTTTGGCTGCATATATGATTTGCAAACGTTTTCCGACGAAAGGTGGGGACAGCCCTGGAGTCCTTTCTGCAGAAGCTCCTTGGGGACTGGGACTGGGATCTCTCCGCTTTGGTCCCTTTCTCTGCCTCGGCTTGCCCCCTGTTGCCTCTCAGAGCTGCCTTCCTCCTCCCTTTTCCCTCCCCGCGCTGCCGCCTCTTAGGAAATCGAGCCGGGTTAGACAATTAAAATTGCCCTTGGGCGCCGATTTCACTTCTCTGCTCCGGATCGGCGAACCCTTCGCCGCAAAATTCTTTGCTGCCGGGGTAGGATTGTGTGCGGTGACTCCGGAAAGGCATTTTTAAGAAGCGAGAACTGGAAAGCCTTGCTCTCCCCCCACCCTTTCCCCGCCCGCCTTTCTGAACGCGAAGGGAGGGGAGAGACCGAAGAGAGAGGGAGGGACCTGGGTTGATTGCCCGCTGCTTGATCCTCCTCTGCAGCTCAGCATAGAAAATCCGGCAAAGAAGAGTTTAAACTCCATCTTCTGCCTGCAGAAATCACCTCTGTCCTCTACACAAATCCCCCATCCGCCCAGCGAACCCAGATTGTATCTTGTTCTGTTCAGCAACAGTTGACTGAGGCAGGCCTCTGAAAGGAGGCAGGCTGGAGAAAGCATGAAGGAGAGAGGGCTATTTTTTTTTACCACCCCTGGGTTTTTTTTTTGTTTTGTTTTTGATGTTGCCTTTTTAGCTCACTGTTAACAAGTCGGGAGGGATTTCTCTTAAGGTCTGTCCATTGTTGCATTTACATTCCTTCTCTGGGTTTGTGAAATAGTGCCTCCTTTATTTGTATTAATTACAGGTTTTGGAACACTTATTAGACAGATGACTGATACTAAGTCTGTGGTCAGAAGTTATGTGGGAAGCTCCCGTTACCATTCCCAAGATACTTTTGCCTAGAAGGGCACCCCATCTTAATTTGTAATGTTACACAGCCAAAAATGATTATCCTGGATGAAGCTTTGCTGCTGGCCTTTAAATTTTTATTATAAAGTGACTAAGACCAGCTGTAAGGACCTGTGATTTTTTTTTAGCTTTTCCTTCCTCTGAAGTGTAATCCACTTGGAGAAAATTCCTCTGAAGTTTCTTTTGCTGCTCTTGAACACAGGAGAGAGTTGTATCTGAATATATTGTAATGCTTACAATTTTTTGTGGAGGTTTGATATGTGTGCTTGGACTGGGGGTTGTAGACTTCCCTCTCCCCTCCTCCCCCAGTTCTAGGGATTTGAATCCAGGGCCTCACACATGCTAGACAAGGGCTGAACTACATCCTCTAGACATGGGAGGGTTTTGTTGTTGTTGTTGTTTTGCTTTTTGTTGTTTTTTGAGACAGGGTCTTTGGAAGTTGCCCACATGGACCTCAAATTTGGGTGCCTCCTGCCTCAACCTCCCAAGTAGTCACCTGGCTAGACTTCTTGATTTAAAGTGTGGGCTAATTTTTTACCCCTGGGATGAAGTGGTGTAAGTCTTATTTATTTGACCATGCTGAAATTATTTAATAGAAACCTGAAGCATAAAAAAAGTGTTATTTTGTCTGAGATTGGGCTTTTAAACTCTGAAACCTAACCTCTGAATCTATTAATTAGATGTGGTCTAAAACTTGTCAAATTGTAATAAGCAACAGTTTCTGCTTTAGCTGGAAGGAGAGAAAGGAGAGAGAGGGAGGAACTTCTAACTGATGGTGAGAGTCCCATTTGTCCAGGCTGTGCATTTCATTGAATACTTTTTTTTTTCTTTTTTGAGACCGTGAATGGGACCTGGTAATCAGAGATTTGAGAATTGTACTAAATGAGATAGGGTTGCTTCACATTTTCAATTTCTTTTTGAAGATGCCACTACTAAATGTACTGTTGACTTAGCTGAGTTATTATCTAAATCACATAACTTTCTAATCATTCGTGAAAAGGCAGGAAATCTTTTGTGGTACTGGGGATTGAATCCAAGGCCTTGTGCATGTAAGTCAGGCACTCTACCAACTGAGCTATATCCCTAGCCCTAGGAAATCTTTTTTTAAATAGGAATTTCCTGCATGAATCATTTGATAAGTAAGACTTATCCCACTTTCCTGCCTCCTAACCCTCACTCACACAAAAGTAAAATACTTCATTAACCAATTCAACCAGCCTGGTGAGGTCAGGCAATTAATATTTCTGAAAAATTTTGATCCCTGAATATGTTTTCATTAATTTGTCCTATTCATTGCTTACTTGTACCATACGGGCATGAGATTAGGCTACATGACTATATTTTCTCTTGCTTTCCTTTTGAACTAAGACTGGATTATTTAGATAAGTAGTGAAAATTTCCATCATATACAGAATGCATAAGAGAGAAGCTGGAATTTGACAAATGCTGTAGGTGACAATTGCAGTGCTGCTTTCTCCTTTAAAAGTTCTGTGATATAAGTCCTTTCTGAAGTCTCTAGTGTCTCTTACCAGTCTGCTTCACAGTGAACAGGATTTAATAAAATGTTGTAGAAGTGGCCTGGCACAGTGGCACCATCTGTAATCCCAGTGGCTCAGGAGGCTGAGACAGGAGGATCGAGAGAGTTCAAAGCCAGACTCAGCAAAAAGCAAGGCGGTAAGCAACTGAGTGAGACCCTGTCTCTAAATAACATACAAAATAGGGCTGGGGATGTGGTTCAGTGGTTGAATGCCCCTGATTTCAATCCCCACCCCACCCCCCAAAAAATGTTGTAGAAGGGATTTCTTGGCAAACTACCTCTGGTCTTAGTGACATTAGCCATAACCATGTTTTTTTGTTTTTTGGTTTTTGGGTTTTTTGGGGGGGTACTGGGGATTTAACTCATGGACTTGCTAAGTTGCTGAGGCTGGCTTTGAACTCTATAATCCTCTTGACTCATGGGGATTTTTCTAAGATAAATTACTGAAGGAAATGACTAGTCAAATAAGCTATTTTCATTGCCCTGTCTTTTTTCAGGGACCACAGTGTTGTTATGAGGAAACCTCATCTCTTCCCAATTAGATGGGAAGCCATATTTCGGGGTTTTCTGTAATGATTATCTGGGCTAGGGAATGAATTATTCTGTGCTCAGTAGTACCATGACCTCACTGAAGAATTAAAATTGAGAAGCAGAGGTCTTTGTTTAAGTGATAGTGTAATCATTTTATCCAAGTTTAACTGGTTTATCAATTATTCAGAGTGATAATAGGGGTTACTAAGCTTGCCCCTAGAGAACTGGAAAGAGATATGTTTTTAAGTGTTCCCTGGTGAAACTGATCTTTGTCATAATAATCATGCTATAAGTTGAGCTTTCTGAAAATTCAGATTTTCAGGGACTGATCCTTAAAAATCTGTTAAATAGTGTAATAATTGGTGGTGGTTTAGTTGTTGCTGACCCATCTTTCTGTGTGAGAAACGGAAAAATTGTTATCACTAATAGAGTGAATACCATAAGGCATCAGTAATGAGGCTGACTAGAAATTGGCTGATTTCCTCGCATTGCTTTCTCATGGCATTTTGCTCCAGACAGGGACCAAAACGGTTGGATTGAGAAGTGCACCTACCTCTGCAGACCTCAACATGGTCCCTTCCCGTCAGACAGATTTCTGTAGCATTTGCCTCCGCATGTTATATTTGGAATTGTTGGCCGGCTTTCCTCTCTCTGGTGTTGGCAGCAAGATCCAAAATGAGGTTTTCGAAGAATGAGAGTAAAAAGGTCTCTGCACAGGCAAAACTAAGCTCAGATTGGAGTTTTGCATATTTAATTTTCAGTGAGTCATAACAAAGGTTTCACTCACAGACTCTAGAATAAAAATCTTTGTTGTTTGAATTTCTTAAGGAGTGGGTTTTCTGTGATTTTTGTTGTTTAACTCCTCATTAGACTAATATCAGGTAAACAATAAATCAAAATACTTTTATTTTAACATTGTCTTATGAATCTGTTGTTTTTAGCACAGTAAATTCTTAGAAACCTGATGCTGAAGAATAGAGGTTACTATGTCTGAATTCCCTCTCCTCCCCTTACTCTGCCCCATCAGTAGTTAAATGATTCCACAATACACAACCTGATTGGTTTAGGTTTTTGTTTTTATTTATTTTTTTATTTATTTGGTACCAGGGATTGAATCCAGAGGTGTTTAACCCAACCCTTTTTATTTTTTATTTTGAGACAGGATCTCACTTAGTTGCTTAGGACCTTGCTAAGTTAAGGCTGGCTTTGAACTTGTGATCCTCCTGCCTCAGTCTCCCAAGTCTCTAGGACTTTAGGTGTGCACTACTATGTCAGGTGCTAGTTTGATTTTATGTTTATTTTATTTCTTCTTTTTTTTTTGCATTTTCTGTAAGAATAACATGCAGTCCTAGTCCTGGGTTTAATTCCCACCACTGCAGGGGGAAAAAAAAACAACAAACAGAGCAAGGCACAGTGGTGAGAGCTTGAAGCCTTAGGAAAAAGGATCACTTAAAAAGAAAAGAAAAGAAAAAGGATCACTTGAGCCCAGGAGTTCTAGGCCAGCCAGGGCAACACATTAAGGCCCCCAACTCCAAATAAATGAATGAATGAATGAATGAATGAATGAATGAATGAATGAATAAACAAACAAACAAACAAAAAGTATTTGGTGTGTTTGTGGCCCAAATGGCTTAGGTTGAGAGAGGAAATATCAGAGATATTAAAATATGGAAAAGGAGGGGCTGAAGTTGTGGCTCAATGGTAGGGTGCTTGCCTAGCATATGTGAGGCACTGGGTTCGATTCACAGAACCACATATAAATTAATAAATAATCAAAGGTCCATCAACAACTGAAAAATTTTTTTTTAAAAAAATGGAAAAGGAGATAATACTCCTAAAAGGTGAAGGTTTCTGTGTAGATTAAAGAAAATACTTAATGGTACCGTTGGAATTTTTCATTTTAGACCTATTCCAAAATTAATTGCCATACTCCTTAAAAGGTAGGACGCAGTTATGATTTATCAATTTCCCACTACTCCTTAAGGCTCTCAAAGTACTTTATAAATGGGCTCCACTAATATATTAGGACAATTTGGGGCCTTTGTAAATTAGGTGTTTTTTATAGACATGAATGTGCAAGGTTTACTGCCTTAGTTTGAATCTGGAGGTCAGATTCTTAATAGTCTGTTATAAATTCTTGGTCAAGTATTCTTCCAGGAATATTTTTTTTAAAGCTGCATCAGGAATGTACAATTGTCTAGTTTGAACTGAAAGGAGATTCAAGTAGTCATTACTATGTGTTGGAAGAAACTCACCGTATTTTGATATTTGTTAACCTCTAAGCGAAAGTACAAGTAATATATCAGATTACTCAAAGGGACTCAGTAAACCTTTTCTTTTCCTTTTTTGGTACCTAGGATTGAACCCAGAGTCACTTAATTACTGAGTCACATCCCTAGCCCTTTTTATTTTTTATTTTGAAAGGGTCTTGCTAAGTTGCTGAGGTTGGTCTGAACTTTTAATCCTCCTGCCTCAGCCTCCTGAGTCACTAGAATTACAGGTTTCCTGCTTCAGTAAACCTTTTCAACGTTCATCCTGTTGCATTTACCAGTACTTCAACTTGTTTTCATGGCTGAACAATATTCTGTTGTATGAATGTACTAATTTTGTTTATCCGTTCATCAGGTGGTAGACAGTTGAGTTGTTTCTGCTTTTTGCCGTTGTGAATAATGGTGCTGTGAACATTTGGATGCAAGTTTTTGTGGATATTTTGTTTTCCTTTCTTTTTAGATGTGCACTTATAGATGCAATTACTGGGTCCTTTGGTAATTCTTATGTTTAGCCTTTGGGAGGAGCTGCCAGGTTGTTGTCCAATATGGCTGCATCATTTTATTTCCCCATTAGCAATGAGTGAGGGTTCCAGTTTCTCCACATCCTTGATAACACTTGTTATTATGTCTTGATTAAAGCCATCCTAGTGGGCATGAAGTGATGTAAAAAGTTTCTTCTGTGAAATCTAGTCAAGATGGTTCACCATCTTGAAGTGAAAGAGAACCTTACAGTGTAGCTTTATATGTTGGTATTTCAACTTCTCTGGGTAACTTCCTAGCAAAAAAGTCTAAGGCTGAAAGCTACCCTAGAGGAAATAATTTAAAAAAAAAACAAAAAACACCTGCCTTTGGGCAGGGTGCCCACCCAGACTCACCAGCCACAATAGAAAATTTCTGTTTAGGCACTTCTCATACTTGGCCTTATTTTAGGAAGTTTTTTGTTTTGTTTTGGCAGTGCTGGGGAATCAAATCCAGGATCTTGCCCATGATAGACAGGTACTCTATATCCCCAGCCCAGGAAGAAAGATTTAATTGCCTTTGTTTGATTGGTAACAGCTTGGGGTAGAAATACCTTCAGAGCAATTAATATGCTGTCTTTGGAACCCAGTTAACAAGATCAAAAAGTTGTTTGTACACTGCAGCATGCTCACCTGTTTATGTGTCTTTGTGTAAGCCTAGATAGTAGTAAATAGGGAGACAAGAGTACAGAGAATATTTGCCTGAAGGTTTTATATAGCTCATAAAAAGTAATAGTTTGCTTTAATGCTCCAGACAGGATTTTTGCTACCTAGAAATGCAGGTGTCTTCCTTCTTAACAAAAATGGGTACAGTTTTTCTCCTACATATGACAGTAATAGAGAAATAGATGAAGTTGAATGTTGTGTTCTTTTGATTATGAGTAAGAAATCTATCTCTAAACTTGCTTGACCAATCCCCAGCACATATACAATTCCTTGAGTTTGTGGTTAACAAGGCTGCCGTGACAGAAGAGTCTCTTTGGACTTCTGATGGCCCCTTGCTAAATTAATGTGGCACAGGCTCCTGGAAATGTATTCTCGTTTTAAGGTGTCAGAGTTTTAAGTCACCAGAAAATTAAGGGGGGGAAAAGTCTGTTTCCCCCTCCTCTTGGCTTCTTCTTTAAGTTCAAGGCCCTAGGGAGTACAACATGATCAGCTGCATTGCCATTCAATGAGTGACACTTATAAGAGCACCTCTGCATAATGCTAGTCTCCCAAGAGACACAGGACAGGAGTAGGACAGTCTCCTTGCCAGTTTCCTGAAAGAGGAGGACATTGTATTCAGTACAAGTCCTAGACCAAATTTCAGAAAGGCACTTTGCTACTGCAGATTTGACACTATGCCCAGGACGCATGCACAGGTCACTAGCTGATTGCTTTTCCCATGACTTGAGAGCAGTTAAGAAGAATGAGAGGGTGACTCCTTTTCCTGCCTGCAGGTTTCCAGATACCAAAATCCTCATCCTTTAAGCCTAAGGTATTTATTTATTTATTTTTAAGTCCTTTCTTTCTTTCATTGTAGGTGGACACAATACCTTTATTTTATTTATTTTTATGTGGTGCTGAGTATCAAACCCTCACATGTGCTAGGCAAGTGCTCTAACACTGAGCTACAACCTCAGCCCAAGCCTAAGGTATTTGTAAATCTAGGTCTCAGCAAATGAGAACAAAGATGAGGTTTTAGCATATTTTGTATAGAAAGCAAAACTGAAGGCTACAAAATTTATTAATGAAAGAAAAGATTTGATTTTGACCCATTGACTGGAAGGAACTTGACCACTACCTGGAGCAATTGTTGAATTCACAATAAGCAAATTT